AAAAGTTTGGAATTGATGTGACAGAAATAAAACAAGAGCAAATTTTGCATCAGTAGCCAGTTTCTTTGGGTTTGGAGCTTTTTTTTTGTGTTTTTGCTTAAGCAGATATTAACTTTTCTGCTATAAAGCAATCCTGGAGCCAGATTCTCTCTCTGAATGTCTGTGTACCCAGCAATTGAGAGGACTTTGTGCAGAATGCTGTTAAAAAGAATATAACACCAAGGCTGCACATCTGTTTCTCATTTCAAAGCAAGTCCTTTTACTCCAAGCCTGTATTTTTTTCTTTCTGCATGAGATTTGGGGGTTTTTTAACTTCAGTAAACAGGCCAGAAGAAGAAGATTGCTCATGAAATGAGTTTCTGGGTATCATTTACTCAGAAAGCTTTGGCAGCCCATGGATTTGGTCCTGATGGGATGGTGTGCATCCACAGCTTGATTTGTTCTATTAAAATGCCTTTGTGTAAAAAAACCAGTTCTGGAGCTCTGGCTCTGTGAAGTGGAGGCTGAAATCAAGGCTGTGACATCAGCCTGAGACATTTGCATGTCAGGAAAGGTGATGTAAAAATGTGGGCTCTCCTGGCAGTGTTTGTAGCAGCCAGGAAATCCAGCAGGAATTGGTGATTTCCAGCTCTCTTAAGCCCTGAAAAGTGAACTGCAGGTGAGGAGAAGATAAAGAGTTCCTTAATAAATCCTTCCTGCTCCAGCTTGCCAGGCTGGGTGCAAGAATTATGTATTTCTGGTTCTTTGTAATGCTTTTATAATTTTTTTCCTGCCTGGAAAATGAATTGCTGCATAGTGACACATCACTGAAGGACTGGGTTTATTCCTGAAAGTGTTCAGGTGGGATTTTGTACATCTGTGGTCAGACAGTAACTGGTTTGAGATCAACAACCATGCAAATTTGTAGCATTATTGTATTTGCAGGGTGCCCAGATGAAGGAAGGAATGATGAATCTGACTCCATGTTCTCAGAAGACTAATTTGTTATTTATAACACTATATTATATTAAAGAATACTAAACTGAACTATACTAAGGAATACAGAAAGGATACTTACTGAAGGCTAGAAAGATAATAATGAAACTCATGACTCTTTCCAGAGCCTTGACACCGCTTGGCCCCGATTGGCCATTGTGCCAAAATAATTCACATGAAACCAATGAAACAATCTCCAAACACATTCCAAAGGAGCAAAACTCAGGAGAAGCAAATCAGATGATATTGTTTTCCTTTTTCTCTGAGGCTTCTCAGCTTCCCAGGAGAAAAATCCTGGGCAAAGGGATTTTTCAGAAAATATGAATATGACATAGCATCTCTCAAGTATTTTGCTGCTGTAGAGCTGTTCCTTGGGAGGATCTCACTGGGACCAAGGATGAGAATTGTTCTGAAGTGTGAGAGCAAATTCATGCCAGCCTTGGGCCTTTGGGTTCTGCTGGACATGATTAAATAGGGGAAAATTTCCTTTCCATGCAACAACAAATTGGTCACTTATTAAATCTGGAAACATTTTTTAGAATTATTTTGTGTCTATTTGTTGCTCAGACTGGTTTTATTCCTGTGTGATTACTCCCTGTGTGGTCTCCTGGCATAGCAATCTGAGATTATTTTGCCTCATTCTTTTTCCTTTCTGAGGGCTGGGCAATGGCTGCTGAACAAATCTGTGCCCTGTTCCATTATCAGAGAAAAGCTGCTACTGAATTTGGGGAGGAAAGGTTAGATGTGGGCAGCTTCGTGGAGTTCCTCCCTTTTGTGGCACTGGAAAGTTTCCATGATTCACTTGGGAAATAAAGTCCCTGAGGGTGACAAAGTGTTCTCCCAGTCACTGCCATTATTAAAAGGATTTCATTATAGTGGGTATCTTCTTCACTGGTACCTGCTCAGGCAGCACATGTGCTGCTGCAGGTGCTTTTTGGCTCCCTGATATGACATCTGTTGGCTCGTGTGCCTGGAATTCTGGATTTAAAACTACTTAACAAATACTTCCATTCAGCAGGCACTGCTTTTTACTCTTTGGAAAAAGCAAGTCATTAGAATCAGCAAGTACACTTTTTAATGCAGCTTTTCAGGCCTCCGTGGTTGCTGCTAGAAAAAAAATGTTCTTTATTGATGTGCTTTAGGTTTTTAAGATCCTGTGTGCGTGGTCAGATTTGTTACCCAAACCTGAATTTGCCATTGTGGCACCATGGAAGGTCTCTGCCACACAGGGGGAAGAGAAATGTTTAAATCTTTCCATAGCAATGGATTTGGTCAGGTTAATGTGTACCAGTACAAAAAAATCTAAAAACAATGTACCTGCAACTCCTGGATCTGCGACCTTATTAATATTTTGTTAATTTTATTGATATTTATATTAATTTCAATGAATTTGATTATATTTTATATAATAATTTATATTTGTAGGATGTATTAATTTTTAATATTTATATTATATGTTTCTATATAAATTTTCATTTGTGTATTTATGTATACATTTTGATTTGTGTATTTATATATAAATTTTCATTTGCTTGTATTTATTAATTTATTAATTTTATTAATATTAATACTTTAAAAGACACTTAATGAGAGACTTCCTGGCATTGTCCACACTGATGACAGCACAAAGGGCACTTGGATTTAAGGAGAGCTGCTCCAGGTGCTCCATCCCCAGCAGTTCTGGCCACTTTGGGTGCCAGGGTGAGCTCAGGAATTCCTGGCAGGGGCTGGGCAAGGTTTGCCCATCCTGAGATAAACCAGGGCACTCTGGATTTGTGCACTCACTGAGGGAGCAGCACCTGGAAATTCTCACTGCAGGCTCAAATCCCAGATTTAGGGAGCGAGGATGGAAGCAGAGTTTGCTGAATAACAAACCCAGCCAGCTTTAAGGGCTGTTTGATGGATGAGCTGTGTATAGGAAGGTTGCACTCAATTCCCTGCTCTGCTCATAATATTTGCATAGCCCAAGGTGGTTTACATCTTTTAATAAGTTTTGCCCCTGGGAAGAGACCAGAAGATCTCAGTGTTGTCCCTGCGTTTCTCTGAGGTGCTGTAATAATTTCAAATAAGGCTGAGGTTTGCTGTGCAGGCTGGGGATGGTTTCAGTGGGCCATGAACTCTGATCTGTCCTGCAGCACCAAAAATCTGGGTTGTGGTTCTTCCAAAAACCTTGGGGGAAAACAAGCCAAAAAGCCCAAACCCCCTGCCAGGGTGAGGAATTCCCACAGGCAGGGCTGTGAACACACTCCAGGCTTAGAAATTGGTGTCTGTGCCAGGGACTGCTGCACTTGGGTTGTTTTAGTGGGATTTGGAAACCCAGAATTCTCATTGGGTGGGTAAATCCACGGTGTAATCCCACCATATTCAGTGGATAACACTGAGAGGGCACATCTCCAAAAAAAATGCTGAAGTTGTTCAGTTCTCTGTATTGCATTGTGAATGTTCGTGTTATTTCATTTATCTCAGGATTAAAAAATCAAAAAAAAAATACAAAGAAATGCTCCCAATATTGTTTTTAAATCCTTTTTTCTTTTTTAATTCATGGTTATACTTATTAGTCGTTGCACACACACACCAAACCCCTATGGCAAATGAAACCTTTAAAGTATGAAGAACAATTTCTGTAGATTCAGGAAAAGAATGTAAAGTGCTGATTTTGTTTATTTTAGAATAAATGGGGTCAGGAAGGTGTCAAATGTTTGATAATCACCTTTTATATCTGTCTTCCTTTTCAACTTGTGTTTCAGTTGTTTCTGTTTGTGTTTTTTGATCCCTAATTATGCATTAGGTAGTTTTGCATGAAGAGCTGAGTGAGGATCCCGGTCTATTTTTATCAGTAGATTTAGAATCCTGTCAGCTAAATATAAATATGGTTTTTAACGAGCCTGAATTCCAGTGTAAGAGCTCACAGGATGTATTTTGCTGAAGAATGTTGCTGGGCTGGCCAAGTTCCCACAGTTTTATCAATGAATTGGGTGTTTGAGACCATTAGGAATTGTTAAACTAGGGAGGAGTGAGGTTGTTGTGAGACTAAAGTTTGATTTGATGAATTCTGATGGGAGTATTTCCATTCTTGTGATCTTCTGGATCCTGGTGATCCTTTCCCTGTCACACGTCCTGCTCCTTTCTATTTAAATGTCTGTGGCTTTGAGGTCCCTGCATAAATCCTGCTCTGCTCCTTGAAGTTCTGCAGGAAAAGCTGTTTGGAATTCATCAAGATCAGCTGCTTCATCTGAGAGCAGGGGATGAAATGATCAGAACTTGGAACAAAAATAAGGAAACAATGGATCCTGGGATTGCTCAGGCATGAGCTCCTTCCATTTTCTGCCTGCCTGCTGTCCCAAAATGTGTAGGATTGGGGTCATGTTTGATATTTATCTTCTCTTCCTTCAATCTGCATCTCCCTGCCTTGAAATCAGCCTGGCAACTCCTTCCCTAAGGCTGCAATAAACTTCTTCGTGGTCAGGGCTTGAGAGGAATATGAACTAAAATCTCACAGTTCTTGGAGGAGCTTGTAAAATTGCCCAAATAAAAACTTAACTGGGAAAATTAAAGCAGAAAAACAGAGAAAGATACAAGAGCCTCAGAAGCAGGGATCTCTGGAGGCTGGGGGGTGTTGGGCTTGGACACCTACTGGGGGAATTTTTCAGGCTGTCCCAGCATGGTTCTTTCCCTGCACTGCCACTGGAACAGGCTTTGCTGTGTTTTGTGGCACTCAAATGCTCCTTTCATGGCTCTGCAGCCAAGTTTTCCTTCTTGCATTATCATCTGTCATAAAAAGTGTATTCAAAGCAGGAAACCTCAAACCCCACTTCTCTTCCCTCTTGCTTCCACCTTTCCTCACTGTAGAGATTGAGCTGGGGAAAATGATTGTTCTGTTCTCTGTCATTTTTACCTGTTTGCAGTGTCCAGTCATTTTCTGAGTGCTCAGAAAGATTCTGCTTTTATTTTGCCAGCCAAATATGAGGATGAATCAGATTATGGGTATTACATTTGAAACACTTCTCTGTTTGTTTATTTGGCAGGTCCTTGAGCAGTATGAACGAGAAGGGTTTAATTTCCTAGCCAAAGTTTTTAATTCTTCACATTCCTTCTTGGAAGACTTGACAGGTCTGACTTTATTACACCAGGAGACACAGGCTGCTGAGGTAAGCAAATAAAACGTGGATGTTAATTAATCATGTGGCCAAATGATAGAATTAAGCAGTGGCATTTTATTTACAGAGTGATTGACACAATGATTTAGACATTCTCTTAAATTAATTGTAATTTTCTGTATCTGAGTCTTTCAATATTACTTTTAAAGGAAGCAGGTGACTTGGTTATGTGGTGTGAGGAAATCAATTGCAATTTTAGATCAATTAAAATGTAATTATGCTGCTTGATAGATTATAATATGGGGGGAAAATGCTGTTTATCTGCCCAGTGACAAAAATTGAATTTGGACAGAAACTTGGCTGTGTTTGATCTCATGGACAGCAGCACTGGTAATAACTCAATATTGAGTTGTGTTCCATAAAAAATCAAACAGGTATCTCCTAATATTATATTTAACAAGGATTTGTAGTCCTTCCTCCTTCTGCCAATATCTCTACCCTTGTGCATCATCATTTAATTTTGGCACAGCTGGATCCCAGGGCTGCTTCTGAAGCAGTGATTATTCAGTCCCTGCAGCCTGTGCAAGTGCTGGAGCTGTTTTTTCAGCTGGAAAGGGCTCCACAGTGTTTCTTAATAAAGCTTGGGGTGGATAATGATGACTTGGCTCTCTGCTCTCTGTTTCATGTTTTAAACTTTGAAAAATAATTGTAGCAGATGCTGGAAACCTGAACTGTAAAATACCTAATGCGTTCTGAAATCAGCATGGTCATACCTTGAAGAAATTTAAATATATATATGAGAGGGATCCCAGAAGGGAAAACAAGCACCCTTTAACACATGCCACTCATTAACAGCAGGAATAATTAAAGTCTGATTGCCAGGCCTGACTTTCTGTGTCTAGGTTGCTAATGTAAAACATAAAAACAATTAAAATTAGTAATGTATTATTAGCAGGTATTAATCCATAAATCCCTTTTGCAGCTTCACAATAGGTGTTTGTTAATGAGGTTTTAGATACTCTACAAAATGCAGAGTCTGGTGGCAGTTTGCTGCAACTTACTGAAGTTCAAAGTCTTGCTTGAAACCCAGAATTTGTGTCCTCTCAAAAATGCTGGGGTACTTCAGTGAGGTTTATGCAGTGAAATCACTGCTCAGAGGTGGAAAATCTGACATAACAAGTATTTGCAGAGCTCACATTTTCAGATTAGGGTAACTGTCATAAAACCAGGGAGCTTGCTTGATTCTTCCCTCTGGGACTGCTGCATTTTTGGGAAAATCCATCTCTTTCAGCAGTTAACCAGTTGAACAGTCTTGGTGAATCAGTGCTCCTGAATGGCAAGGGCTGACAGGAAGATTATTTATGGAGATCCTGGAGCACCCCTGCTTGCTTTGGATGAAAAACCAGCTCTCTGTTACACTTTGCCACTGAAAACCATTACATTTTGGCTCTGAAAAACAAAGAGGTTGCTTTGTGCTCCTCCACAAGTCTCTCAGTTCATCATCTGGGGCAATTCTTAAATTTTTTAGGTGCACAGAGAGTGCTTTTAATATATTTTCTGCAGAATTACTCTCCTTTAATATCTTTTCTGCAGAATTACTCTCCTGTCCTGAGCTCCTTTTCTCTTGTATTTCAAGCTCCTTTTTCTCACGCTGCAGCTGGGGACTGTGAGCTCTGTAAAATGATTTTTTTTGGGGTTTCTGGCTGCTTTGGAGCTGCTCTTGGCAGAATGTGTTCCCTAAAATGGAGCCATTGGATTTGCTAAGGTTGGTGCTCCTTTGATTTGAGATATTCTCATTACACCCTAAAGCCTGCAGCAAAAGCACTGAGAGGTTTCACCAGGTGGGGATGGCCTGGTTTGGGATGGGAATGTTTCATTTTTCTGGTGAGAAATTATCTGCTTTTCACCACTCAAACTCTTCAGATGGATTTTGTGGATTACTGGTGCATTTGAAGGCCATAAAATGGCTTCTGGTAACTGCAGATTTTCCTTTCCTCCTGTCTAGTAAAATCTATCCAGAACTATAAAGAAAATAGACTTGTAAATTTAGATGTCATCCAACCTTCTATTTACCCAGTAACATCATAACTGGGTTGTAATTCCATCTATAAATCCCTGATATTTCACTAATAAACCTGCCTCTGACAGGGGAACTACTCAATCTTGTGCTTATTTTTAAAAGGTTCTCTGTTAAAATGTGCATTCACTCAAAGCATTTCATTGAACATTTTGCCAAGAGTGTTTTGTTGTGGTCAGAAAAAGTGTTGTGCTGCTCTTATGTTTCAAATTTTTAAAATACTTTTTATTTTTAGTTCACCTAAATGCTTAGCTGCTTTCGTGATGTGTGTGTAAAAGTGCTTTAATGGGAATTTTTTTCTAAGTTTTGAGTTTGCCTAAAAGAGAATATGCATAAGTTGTGTATGTTCTGTAGGAGTGTAGGAGTTAAATACAACATTTTTGGATATATAGCCTGAATTTCCATGAAATCTCCCCCTACATGATTAGCACAGAGTGTGTTTGCCCAGATTTAAGGAACACAATTTGCAGTACGATATGGGAGACCTTTCACTTAGTGAAAATCTTTTTTTACTTGCACTGTTTAATTCCTACTCCAGGGCTGTGCTATTGACCATAATATTTTAATGCATTTAAATATGTTCAAAGTTTTAATACATTTAAAACTTCAGGACTGCTGCATTTTTAATTAACTTAAACATTTAATGCATTTTTAAAAAAAAATGTTTAAAATTTTAATACATTTAAATTGGTTTAAAGTTGATACAAATTGCAGGTTTTTAGTCAACAGAACACCTATTTCTTACATGATAAATGTTCTCCATGCCTTCCTTAGCATGACAATTAATAAATAATAACACCAGCAAGCTTTCCTATCCTGTCTTGAACTGACAGTACATTTCAGGCATCTGCTCCTTGTACATCTGGCTTTAATTTTGGTTCTCTGGAGCATTTTGCTGGGTTTTTTTCCCCAGCTGGCTCTTTCTGTGCAGCTTGGGCAGCAGGCTGTGATGCCCCCGGCTGGGGGGAACGAGGGGAGCTGTGGGAAACTCCCCTGTCAGCACTGAGCCCTGCTTCCCTGGACCTGTTCACCTGGGGAGCTGCCTGAGCTGATGGAAGCTCTCCATTTCTGTTTTCCACATCACTCAGGCTCCTTTCTGCAGAGCTCAGCTTCTAAACTCGACCCTTGCTCGCCCTGCAGTGGGGTTTAATGGCTTAACACAGAGGCAGCCTGAGCATCCTGGGGCTGTTCATCAGGCTGCAGGCGTGGAACTGGGGGCAAAAAATAATTTTTTGGAATAATTTCCAAATCACAGCGTGGCTGGGCTGCCCAGGACTGTTCATATCAATGCATCCCTAAACCCAACTGCTTTGCTCCCCACGTGCTCCAGACTCACCCTGCAAAGGGTGAATCTGTGCAGATGTAAAGATGCTTTCCCTCTAAAATTTCTAATTCAAAGTTTTCTCATCCTGATTCACAACTTTGCTGATATGCTCCACTCACTTCTCTCTGCAATTCTCTGTAATTCTCATTTCTCTCTGGAATAAGACACAAGTGTAAATATACTTTTCTTTGCATTTCAATTCCTGAATTACTTGGATACCTTACGGCACTTCCTGCTTTTATCAGGATGAAAGAAGATTATAAAACACACACCAGAAATAAAATTTTCACTTGGTTTTCTGATTAAAAAACAAGAAGGGGTAGAAGTTGCAATCCAAGAGGGTCATAAAGAGCTTTAGAAAAAAAAATTAAATCTGTAGCAGAGTTCCTATATTTGAATATGAATTTAAAGGTCAGGTATGGTGCCAGCAGGTCATTATGTCTGTGTTATTTTACTTCAGTAATGTTATATTTCAAGTTTCTGTCTCTCACAAAAAGTGTGGTATCTGTAGTTTCTGTGACAAGTTCTTGCAGTCAATGAATGAGGCCTCTTTGACTTTTCCAAAATCCCTTTTCTGTGTCCCAAACAATCCTAATGAATGAAAAAAAAAAAGGATTCATGCTAGTAAAATACTCAGAGAAAATACAGACAACCCAATTTTATCATTTCTGCACTTATCTGAAGTTTCTTCCTGAACATTTTTCAGTATTTCTTGAGGAACAAGGCTTAGCTGCAGAATAAGCAGCTGGTATTAAAAAGGAACTTTGTGCTTTTCCTAATTTGGAAGAAAATTCAGAATTTTCAGTGTGCTTTTCTATTAAAAATATCCTGCTTGTTTCTGATTCTGCATTATATTATGCAGTATATTTGATGCTGAAACAATAACATATGAAGAGCCAAATAAAAACCCCAAGCAAAACAGAAAAAGCCAGCTACAACAATATTGTAACAGCAAATTCTGTAACTTGGCAGTTTTTCTCTGTCAGCCAAGTATTATTCAGAATGTAATTTTATTTGGTGTTATGAAAACTTCCTAAAGAAATCATTACTGATGGGTAGCCCAAAATTAATATTTGAGACTTTTCTGTGACTGTGAGCTTTTTTGTTTTCCTTCATGTTTTTAATCTGGTGCATTTCTGGAGAAATTAATTTTGACAGATTCAGGCCTGCCCTGGAATTTCTTTCTTAAGAGATTAAGAGATTAATTTGTTTTCTTTCAGGAGGTGGGTTGTTTTTTTTCTTTTTGAGTTTTCTCATGATGTCAATTAGTGTCATCATTTTTCTTCATTTATCAAGTAATGTTTCCTGGCTCTTTGAACAATGGTGATTTTTTTTTTTTCTGCTGATGCCTTCTGCTGCTTTTGGAAGGGTTTAGAAATACCTGTAAAGTGGTGCCTCTGTGTGCTACCAAAACATGAGCTCCTTGCCTTTCCCTGATACCTTCAATGATAATTTCAATTATCATTAATTATATTCAAATGATCTTCCTGGGACTGACGTCAGAGGGTGATGTGCTCAAATACTCCTGTTTCATGAGATATCTGAATCAATGTGTGTTTGTCCCTTCAGGCCAGGGAGGGGCTTGTGCAGACATTTATTTCTTTGGAGGGAAGGACAGTTGGTTAGTATCCAGTTATCATTTTTGTTTGA